GGGGTCGTCACCTGGTTTCGAGTCCTTTGTGTATAGCATGGATCGTTCCTTTGTTGTAGCGTTGTTGTTTGACCTTATTATTGATAACAAAGTTAAAGTTTCTAGAAAGTTAATCCTGAAAGATCCATGCTATACCGAATGTCCCGTGACAATTCTTGAGCGGCATTTCACGCGAATATTAATTTTACTCAATTAACGGCGAGCGTGCATGTGCAGACATGCAGCCGAACGCGACTTCGTCGCGATGCTAAATTTGCGATCTCAAACAATATATATAGATAAAGCAAATTATAATTTTGAAAGAAAAAATTTAACAAATAGGTATTTTTGTTAACTGTAGAAACGTAAAAAATACGTTTCTTAAATCATGGTTTCAAAAACATTTTTGTTCAAACGTTTCTTAATGGTTTTTTACGGTTATAATACTATGTATACGTTCAAAAAACGTATATGAAACTAAACATGTACTACCTGGAATCTTAGAGAATTATATATGAAATGGGAGTAGAAAAAACTAAAGAATGTATTGTAATAGAATTAGAAAAATTACTAATAATAAAGGAGTTTCCGATTTTCGTTTAAAAAAATGTACGTGATTACTCCAATTTCCGCAAATTTTGAGATATCAAGCCAAATATTTGTTCATGAATAATTTTTATGGATAATTTTTTGTTGCCGATTTTTTGGAAACCGGTTTCAAAATTTTTCAAATTTTTCGAGAAATAATAAGTATTAATGGACCGATTTTCTTGAAACCAGTGCCAAATTTTTTTTAATTTTTGGAGAATAAATTTAATTTTTTATTAATGGATAATTTTTTAGAGGGTGAAAGCGCGCGAAGCGCGGGCAAAAAAGAACAAATAAATTGATATTAGAACAGAAAGGCAGCAAATGTAAAACTAAACCCGGTAGAATTTTTAAACGAAATAGAAAAAAGGAGGAACAGAAAGAAAATAAAAATAAAAAAAAATAAAAGAGAGTAACAATAAAGAAAGGGTAATTCTTCAGAATAGGGCCTTTTCCGAATTTTGATATTTTCTTGCGGTTTTCTTGGTAAAAACCTTTGTTGTGACTCCGACAGTGATAATCAATCGGGGGAGCCCGAAAAATATGCACCCTACCTATTTTTTTTCCTATTTTAGTAAATCTGAAAGAATGCTCACTCTTCTTCGATTTCGATGAAATAAGGCTCAATTAAAGCGTTTTTGCTCAAAATGACTAAAAGTATTTAGTGCGTGAACCTCGGTACGCGTGGAAAGTGTATGCGTGAACTATTTCGGGACTACCGCACTTCCCCCGAAAACATGGGGGGGGTGTGCGTGAACTTCGATTCGCGTGGAAAGTGTATGCGTGAACTATTTCGGGACTACCGCACCTCCCCCGAAAGAACGGGGGGGTGTGCGTGAACCTCGGTTCGCGTGGAAAGTGTATGCGTGAACTATTTCGGGACTACCGCACCTCCCCCGAAAGCACGGGGGAGGTGTGCGTAAACCTCGATTCGCGTGGAAAGTGTATGCGTGAACTATTTCGGGACTACCGCACCTCCCCCGAAAGCACGGGGGGGGGGTGTGCGTGAACCTCGGTTCGCGTGAAAAGTGTATGCGTGAACTATTTCGGGGCTACCGCACCTCCCCCAAAAGCAGGGGGGAAGTGTGCGTGAACCTCGGTTCGCGTGGAAAGTGTATGCGCCCTTAATCTAGACATTTATCAAAAATAAAGTAAAAATAGGTAAAAAAAAATAGGTAGGGTGCATATTTTTCGGGCTCCCCCGATTGATTATCACTGTCGGAGTCACAACAAAGGTTTTTACCAAGAAAACCGCAAGAAAATATCAAAATTCGAAAAAAGCCCTATTCTGAAGAATTACCAAAGAAAGATATAGGCTCTCTAGATTAACACAATGTGAATAGGAATTCCATTGGAATTCATCTTTAGAATTTTGCGCGAACGTCTTAAGTTTCTGTTTAACAGAGACTTGAATACTACTGATTTCTATATTCTCTATATAACACTGGATGGCGTATGCTATGAAAAAAGACGATAAAAGTGTGTTACGCATTGAATTCATCCCGGCAGCCATCTTTGATGAGGTAAAGTATGCACTTTTAGGCAGTAAATTCAAATTGCGATAAAGTAAAAAAGTAATAATATGAAGACTTATTTGAAGATATTTGTAGTTAAAACGTAGAATACAGTACTCTATTATGGGAAAATTATTATTACTACTAAAAGTAATTTTTACTGCACGCACAATATATATTCACTTGGATTAAAACATGAATTGTATTATATACATTTTACCTTACATTTTACCATGTATACAACATCGTGTTTTAAATAAGAGACGTAAATAGCAAGTTGAAAATAAGCTCAAAATATAAAAGTACGTAAAACTAAATTAAAGATATATAGAAGATATATAGAAATGTCTAAAAACACGTTTTTTTTTTTGTGAAGGAAAAAATTTAAAAACGATAAATTGTTTGGTTTATTTTATTTGCAAATTCTTTACAATAAGTATTGTAACTAATAAATTAATGTATTGCAAAGTAAGTCTTAGAAGTGTATATAAAAATATTGAATGTAATAAATAAAAAATAATGAATAGATATTAATAATACATAAGATGAAAATTCCAATTAATATTAAATATGTACAATTATGGATTAAATAAATTGATTAGAGATAGAATTCTGATTGTAAATGTAATGTAAAAAGTAGAATTAAATAAATTGATTAGAGAGAAATGGAATTTTGATTGTAAATGTAATGTGATTTGTGCTGTCTCAGAACGTGCGCCTGCTTCATCAAATCTTGTGTTTTCTTCTTTTGCTGAATATACTTTTTCCTCATCGTCTTTGGAGATGCTTCATACTGATGATCATGCTTCGTGTGAAGAATTCGTTTCCTAAATACTTCGTGGTGTTTGTGGTGTCCTGCTGCGAACTGGACTGTTTACTTCTTCAACAGCTAAACTCGTAGAAAGTGCTACATTTTTTTCGCAGTGTTCGACTGTCAACATTCCAAAAAATTTGTTATCAGACTTTAAAATACTAGATTTTCTGCATTAACTTCTTATATATACACTTAAATCATTTATACCTGAGGAACAATCCATCACAGCTTCTCTCTCTGAATGCATTAATGTGCTAGTAAAAAGACTGCTACTTCTTTGAATTTTAGAAGGAGATGTGGAAAATTCTGACGAAATACGCTTTGTACCTTGCTGCCGTGTTATTGATTGATTATCATTACTATCATATACTATTACATCAGATGAATTGCTTATATTTCCTTGCATTTCTCCTGCAATGGATGTCCCTACAAATGTATATATTTTTCATATAATGTAGTCAGACTTTAAAATACTAAATTTTCTGCGTTAACTTCTTATATCATTAAATCATTTATACCTAAGGAACAATCCATCACAGCTTCTCTCTCTGAATGCATTGATTGTAAAAGGACTGCTGCTTCTTTGAATTTTAGAAGGAAATGTGGAAATTTCTGACGAAATACGCTTTGTACCTTGCTGCCGTGTTATTGATTGATTATCATTAATATTATATACTACTACATCAGATGAATTGCTTATATTCTCTTGCAATTCTCCTGCAATAGAGGTTCCTACAAATGTATATATTTCTGTATACAAAGTGCATTTATTTATTTATTTATTTTACTAAAAAGTTATTTTAATGCACAGCAATATTAATAAAACTAAATAATTACAACTGAAACAATTTATAAATATAATACATTATTATACCTCCGCTATCTGCAGATGAAAACAAAGTTGGCACTGCATTTGCTTTAAGAACTAAACCACGACCTGATGATCGTAAACATTTTTCATCAAAATGGTAACTACACAGCAAACTTTTCTCATTTGGAATGAAATCTTGCAACTCCATTGTCGCTACCCATTTTTCCAGTAATTTGGGATTATTTAAGGGAAATCTGTTTAAAAAGTATTTTAAAGTTCAAATACAAATATTTCGAGATAAACACTACAATTATACATTTTTCTTGTATTTAAAATAAGTGATCATTTGCATAAATAATTCTTATTACTTGTGGAATGATCTTTTTTATCCTGTCCTTTCACTGCATGACAGTAAGCACAAACTGCGTTGTACTCCCCAAATATTATTGGAATACTTCCAATCCGCCGTAGGCATTTCTTATTTGTACCTTCTTGAAAAGATTTTTCCTCAAAATGATCCGAACATAATCTTGAATGCTTTGTCGGTATAAAGTTTGGTCCCAGACCCATCTGTTGCAACCATGATTGCAAAATTTCCTTATCGTTCAAAGGAAACTTTTACAAAAAATATTATTTTACAAGATCAATTTTTGGAAAAAAATTAAATAAAATACAAAAAAAGAATGACAAAAAGGAAATAACCTATAAGACATAAACATGAGTATATGACTTGTATACTTACTTATGAAGTGTTCTACTTTCGGTCCCTTGTTTAGAGCCACAAAAAACACAGGATGACACCATTTTCAAAACGTATTTTTTGTAAACCACAACGATACAAACAATATTTAACTTACATCTCTCTTAATACAACCCGAAACAGCACTGACCTCCAACAGTAGACGCCGCCATATTAGCATATTTTACCTTATCAATCATGGTTGCCTGGTTTCAACTCGTAACAAGGTTTTCCATAGCATACGCCATCCAGTGTTATATAGAGATCAGTGCTCGAATACGAATGTGAGACAGAATGAAGAGGAGGTTACTCCTTTTTTCACTTTACCGTACATCCCGACGATTACTGAAAAGCTTAGGAACGCCATAAGAGATTTGAATGTGAGACTGTCTTATAACAGCTTAAATAAGATGCGTACATTCATCAAGGCGCACAAGGATAGTCTCCCACGGTCGAATAAATGTAACGTGATTTATAAGGTGCATGAATTGTAATGATTGCGACGCTTCTTATGTGGGCCAAACGAGTAGGCAATTGCAAACAAGAATCAAGGAGCATCGTAATCATATTAATTGGAGTACTCCGAATCATTCTGTCATAACTGAACACAGATTAGAATGGAATCATGATTTCGATTAGAATAGCGTTGAAATCTTAGATAATGAATCCTATTGTTATAAACGTTTGATTTCGGAGATGATATGCATAAAAAGGCAGGCGAATGGTTTGAATTTATAGACCGATGCGGAGGGTTTACCGGACGCGTATTTAAATGTGATTGAGAGACTGTCTAAAATTTAGAATAACTTTATGCGAGAGTTTATCCCCTCCTCTGGTTTATACACCTATTATGTTAACCTTCCCACCTATGCCTCACTCATTCGCGACGTTTCAAACCGTGAAATTTGTTGTTACAATGCGATATTCCGGTCTGCAATTGCTCTGTAAGTAAATCCATTAATCATCTGATTTTAACATAGATAATTTACGCCTTTACCACATTGCGACTCTGTTTGATGGTACAGGTGTAGGGCTTTCGAATCTTTCTTACCCACCTGGTCTTTCAACCTGGTGAGATTATTTCTAAGATGCGAGGGATGTGGAGCGAGTGCTTACCGGCGTATCTGGAATTTCGGCAACGGTACATCCATAGGATTTCAATCCTTGTTTTTTTAAATTTTGACTGCGTCTTTTATACTTTGTTCGTCTATTGACTACGCTTTATACTCGACTTCTTTTTGATTATGCTTGTAAATCTTTGTATTTGATTTTATGTAACTTTTAACGCTGAAGAGGACACGAATAATGTGTCGAAACGTACGTTAATATATATATTTTTATTTTTATAAATTGTTTGCGCTTTGATTACCGCGTTTGGTTCTAATTGCCTCACCTATTCACATTGTGTTAAAAGAGAGTAAATAATGGCGGGTCAGCGGAAGGTGAAAACGCGCGAGGCACAAGCAAAAATAAAATTTAAAGAATAATAAAATAATTAAGGACTCTCGATAATAATAAGAACATAAAAAAAAAATTAGCAATAAGAGAGTCGACGCGGTTATTGGTGCGTAATGTCCAAAGACAGATATATTTTCATATTACAAGTGATTGCATATAAATCTATAGATTAAAACGCAGGTTTCGGAAATTTAATGTCAAATATTGAGAACAACGCGCTTTAGTAGATCTTATACCTATATATGTGCGTCTTATTCATTATTATTTAAATTTTCATCAAGATTATATTCCAACCTAAACCTATATGTTATGTTTAAATTTATGTAGGTTTCTATTAATATCTATATTTGGTGATTATTTAAAATTTTTCGGCAAATTGGACGACAATTTTTTCTTCGCACAAATACTAAATAAGAAGTTATTATTTACTACACATTTTAATATTGCATATATTCGATCTGCTACTTTGTATTAAGAAATGTTTCTATGGATATTATTAAATAACTTGACATAAATAATTAAGAATAATTTAATCTGCTGCTGCGTTTATTTAATTCACAAACATTTACAAACATTTAAATAAATGACTTCAAGTCTGTCGATAATATATCAAATATTAACGAAATTAATACTCTCAAGATTTCCGTATCATTTCCCCATTCCTTTAAACTTGGCCATCATATCTTTGACCCAATCTGTTATTTTTTCCTGAAATACAAATATATTTTTCTTAATAAACGTTACAATATAACGATCATGCTTAAACTTTAAGATGATAGAAACCGTGGTAACGGTGTTATTGTTTAAAAATGTCATTAAATAATTTGTGTATTATATTTAAAAAATTTAGATTTCTTTCCTTCATGTTTCGTTAACTTGCCATGCATAAGTTCGAAAATATAACAGAAGATTTAAAAATATTTAAAGGAATAAAAATATCATAAAGTACATTAAGCATCGTGAAATGCATGGTAGTTTAAAAGATATATGGCAAATAAAAATAATTATTAGGGGAGACCGGGGCTATTCGTGACACTGCTGAAATTTTGTCGCGGGCCTAACTTTAAAATGCTTGCTGCTAGAAACCTGTAATATCAATCACAGATGTTTCTTAGTGTCCTCTAGGTACCAACGGAATGGCATTTGCATGTCAACCATTTTTCTCTTTCAGTGACAGAAAGTTTGATTTTAATTGCTCAAAGTAAATTTTTTCAAATCCCAAAAATTTGTTTTCTCGCCGAATAAAATAATAAGAGATCCGAAACGGTAAGTTGTATTCAGTCACTCAACTTCACTAAGCATAATGCATGAGTAGATTTTATGGTATTCTTTCTTATTTATAAGTCACGGATCATGAATAAGGAAAAATCACGCCGGGGCATTTCGTGACACGAGCAATCGGGGCAACCAAAAACGCCACGAATAAGCGTTGAAAGGAAAAACCAATTCGCAGGGACTGCGGACGCCTTCGAAAAGTGGTTTCCCGTAATCGAATGTGAGCAATGAAGGCAATTAATGGAACAAGCGTTACATTTTTCCTCATAATTTTTTATACATATAATATGTAAATTCTGACAAATAAAGGCTTTTTCAAAGTATAAAGTAAATAAAAATTGCAAAAACAAAAGAAATCTATATAGTTTGTTCAATCAAAGAAAGTGTTACGCATTATCCCGTGGTTTGTCACGAATTACCCAGGCTTCGGGGCAATTCAGCGATACATTTCTTGATATATTTCGAGACTTGTAAGAGAAAAACCTATATATTTTTTTTCTTTTAAACTAGAAAGATGAAAAATTACATCGCACTAATAAAAATTTTTTAAACATTTATACGAAGCAAGAAAAAAATTCGAAACAAAAATGTGTCACTAATAGCCCCGGTCTCCCCTACATTTATCATTCATTGTGTCCTGCGGTGTCATATTTTGATAAATATCACTAACAAAAAACATTTTGGTAAATATACCGAATAGAGGACCCACCTCCGATGATCTTGACCTTGACATATGTTGTCAAGGACATGACCCTGAGTAACTTTTCCTTATAACTTAATCGTCGTTTATTGCTTATTTAAAAGTTATAAACAAAAAAATTTTGAGAAGTATATACATATATCAGTTTGTGTCGATACTAAGGAAAGTAATTTGCTGATATGTGTGTATAGACAATACACATGTAGGCGGGAGAGGGCTGCCGCCTCTCACTCACAGGTAGAGGTGGGTAGGGGTGGACCTCGCTTCGCGTGGAAAGTTGAAAACCCAACCGTACACTGTTAGACCTTGTTTCGTCCTGTAAGCAGGGGTGGAATGGGGTAAGGTGGACCTTGTTCTGCATAGGTGGTTCTCTAGAGCGCATTGTTGAGGTTTTCAACTTTTCACGCGAACCAACGTCTACCCCTCCCCCCACCTCTGGTTACGAAGAAGGTGTTGGAACTGGCGACCTATGTACGAAAGAGACAGCGCAGGCCGGCGCCACTGCGCCTGACCACCAGTGTGCGCATGCACCGCCTATATATACCCCCACTATTGCCTTCTTCCAGTACACTCGTTACCTTTGTCGGTTACACACGTGCCCGTTCTCTATGTGTCGTTCTATATAATAAATCTTGTTACATTCGTATAATTAATGTTTGATCGCTTACGATCCGCGTTTCTCAACATTGGTTATGGGCCCAGTCACGGTACGCGCTAAGTGACGCGTGCAAGAACGTAACCCAAAAAAAAAACGGTCGAAAAGAAAATCGCGCGAGTAGACACCATTACGCACGCAGTGCATTGAAATTTCGCAAATACGCTCGTAGAATCCATTTCGCGATATCACAATGGCCGGAATAAACTCAGTGCGAATCGAACCGTTGAATAAAGAGAACTTTGACATATGGAAGGTTCAGATGCAAGCGCTGCTTGTGAAGACGGAGGGCTGGCAATACGTTAGCGACCAAAACACGAAACCCGCTCTCGTCGCAAATGAACCTACTTCTACGACAGCCGTGAGGACATGTGAAATCAACGACGAGAAAGCGAAGTCTGACATCATCCTCTCAATCAGTCCTCCTGAACTGAAACAGGTTAAGGGCCAAAATACGTCGAAGGAAGTGTGGGATAGGCTACACGTCATTTATTAATCCCGAGGGC